CGCCGAGCTGGGGTTGCTCCTGCGCCCTCACCCCGGGCCCGCGGCGTGGGGAGCGGGAGCCTGACCGGGGGGCCTGACGCACGCGGGGCTGCGGGGCGCAGGGCTCGGGCCCCTTATCTGCCAGTCGCCAGTCGCCCCGGCTTGGCTCGGCGGGCGCGATAGTGCTTAATGGGTGCACTCCATCACGTCGGGCTGAGTTATTTCTCAACTTCCCGCCTCTGTCGTTGGCACCGAGGCCAAGGCCCGGGCCGAGCGCCTGGCCTGTAGTAAGCGCGCAGACATCCGCTCCATTCATGACCTGCCCAGGCGAGGTGGCCATTTCTCTCCCCTGGGATCCCTTGGGAGCCCCCGTGCTCCTGCACTTCTTCCTTGCTCCCTCTCCGCCTTCTGTAGCGCCCGCTCACTTCATAGCTGAGCTCCGATGGCTTTTCTGCCTCCCTGCCTGGCTCCCCACCTGGCTTCCAAGCCCCTCCTCTATGCCAGGCCCCTAGCTGGGTGCTGCTGCTGGGCACACAGTGGGCTCAGAGAGTGGGGGGAGGGGAGACAGACCAGCAAACGGGTGGGTCAATAGGAAGTGGCAAGTGCTCCAACAGCGTTCAATCTGGGAGGGCTCCCCGGAGGAGGAGACCTTCGAGTTGGGCCTGGGGCCATGCAAGTACAACTCAGCTGGGGCATGGGTGTGCAGGGAGGGGGGCATTGGGAGGAGAGGCTGGAGCTGAGCAGGCCTGGGTCTCCATTCTGAGGCGCCCGGGCTAAGATCCAGCCTGAGGTAACCCACCTGAGAACCACACTGACAGCTGCACAGGTCCTTCTCTGTCCAGTGTGCAGCTCAGGGCTCCTTCCCCTGGAGTGCATTAGGGTTCTTCATTCGCGCATTCCAGCTTTGCCCACCTTTCTCCCCTCCAGGAGGGCCCTCTCCTTGCTTTCCACCTCGACTGCACTCTCACCCTGCCTGCCTCTCAAGGCTCCTCCCTGCGCTCCTCCCGGCAGGAATTTCCCCCCACTGCTGTCCAAGTCTCGCCCATTTTCTCAAACCCCGGAGCTCTCCCCTGGACTCCTCTCGTCTTCCTCAGTCAGGGTTCTGGGTAGAGCTCCAGGTGGACAGGACTCAGGCCCTGGCGGATGCCACTCTGGAGGCTGATTAACCTCTCAGCCTCAGTTTCCTCAACTGTGAGCTAGGACATCAGTGCCCGCCTCCCTCGCTTGTGGGGAATAGCAGAGAAAACAGCACTGGGGACAGTCACAGTGTCACTCTTTCCAGAGCTCGTCCCCTCCTCCCCTCCTCCCCACCTCGCACACAGGAAGTGCCCTGAACTCTCGCCCGATAAACGCAGAAACCACGCCCACATCGGGAGCAGGGAGACGGTAACCCGGGCCACCAGCCGGCTTGGGGGAGTGCTTGTCAGCAGGAGGCTGTGCGGGAGGAAGGGGTTACCCAATCTGCTGTCACAAGGCGCTGTATCAGTGGGGCTTTGCTGCATCGTGTTATTTGGATAATTGCCCTGAGAAGTGGGCGGGTCTGGAATTATTGTCCCCATTTGAAACTTGGGAAAACTGAGACCTACAGGAATTGGGGACTTCAACCAGAGATTGGATACACCCAGACACTTGGCTGCCTTTATCCTGCTCAAGCCTCGGGTGGGGTGCGAGGAGGGGTCGGAAGTCGGCTGGGAGAAGGCGCAGTCGCCCCGGCGAGCCCTGTCACGTGACTCCGGAGGCCCGCCACCACGTGGGCGGGGCTGGGCCGTGCAGCTCCCTCTGGCCCCTCCAGGCCTGTGGCGGTCACAGATCGCCCCCTGGGCCCTCGGTCACTCCCTCCCCCGACCCCGCCGTCCCTCCCCCAGGTACTGAAGCCCAGACCATAGTTCCTGGCAGCTCTTCCTGGGGGACAGGTGAGCCACTCGTGGGCGCGCAGGGCCCCTCCTCTCCGGCACCTTCCAGGTAAGTGGCGGGGGTCCGGTACCGCCTCCGGGCGGGGCCGCAGCCCCGGGGTTGGGGGCGGCGCCCTCGTCCTCCCAGCCCTTGCTGTTCCCCTGCGGCCGGGCAGCTCCACCCCCTCCGAAGTCCTCCGGGCTCTGGGGCCTCTGGGCAGTGAGTTCCCTCCCGGCTTCTCCTGGCTCTCCCGGGCTCTGGCTCTCCCGAGAGGAGCGGGGGCGGGGTAACTGCAGCCCCCAGTCCACCGCAGCCGGGCCGGCGGCACCAGGGAGAGGCCGGGGGTGTGTGCCCGGACCGGGGTGGGAAAAGGCGGGGGGGCCGGTCGCGCAGGCCAGTACTACCGGCCGCAGGCGGGGGAGTGGGAGACTGACTGGGCGGGAGTCGGGGGCTCCCGGAGTTGCAGCTGCCCCTGGGCCCCGAGGCTGGGCTGCAGCTCTTCCTGGGCAGCAGCGGCTCCCGGAGGACTCGCGGCCAGCTGGAGTGGAGTTCCTGGAAGCGGGCCCCACCCTGCCCCTCCCCACCTGGCTCAGGGCTCCGGAATGGTGCGCCCCGGAAACTCCGCGGGACCTGCCCCGGCCTGGGGTAGGGCGCCAGGGCGCTGGGTACCAGCCGGGCGGAAGTGCTCGGTGCCAGTGCCCGGTGGGCGGGTCTGTCTGTGGAGAAGGGGAGTCCAGCTCTAGGGACTGGACTAGGGGCACACTGTCAGCCCCACCTCCAGCTGCTTTCCCATTTCAGGCCGAGTGGGGGGTCCTCTGACCCATCTCCCCACGCTCTGCTCCGGCTGGAGGGAAGGGGAAGAGGCTTGGATTGTATGGGGCCTGGGCTCAGGGACTGGACATCCTGGATGCCCCTAAGTGAGGGCCCCATCTGAGCACAGCCCTAGGGGGACCTGCTCTCTCTGCACAGCTGAGCCTCTCCGGAGGAAGCCCCCTTGAGCTGAGCCGGTGTTGCTGAGGGCTGAGTTCCCTGGGAGTGAGGGTGGGGAGGACGCGGCAGCGCGGAGCCTGCAGGACTCAGCCATGGTGGCGCTGTGGTGGCGCCCTTGTTACCCCCGCCCCCTCACACGGGGTGCAGAGCCCAGACAAGGCCGCCCCATTCCAGTTGTCCTGGCAGAGCCTTCTGCCTGGACAAAGGCTGGACAAAGGCGGCTTGTTTAATGCCCAGCCCACCCCCCCAAGCCAGCTGTCCTGGCCTGCCCTTGGGGTGACGGAATGCGGGGGAGTTGTTCTCCTGAGAACTGTCGCTCTTGCAGCGCCCAGCATGGCAGCCGGAGGAGGCCGTCCTGTTCTGCCTAGGGCTGGTGGGGGGTGAGGGCCACCTGTCTGCAGGACAGGATTTCTTGTGAGAGGAAGTGCTGTGGGGACACGGGGCAGCACAGGGAAGATCTCAGCTGCCCTGACCCTTCTCACAAGAGGGTGGCGTCCCTGGGGGACACAGCTCTTCCCGGTTTCCCAGGGACTGGTGCCATTGAGGAAACCGATGGGGAACTGACCAGACCCCACTCCTGCCTCTCTCCCTCCCTCTCCCTCCCCTGGCAGTGGAAGGGGCGCCCCCTCAGTCCATTCTAGCATGAGGTTTTTTGGGGTCACCCACCTGACCGCATGTTTGCCTATGGATGGGGGCAGGGTGGGGGCTCAGGGAGCCTGGGCTGTGGGTGGCACCTCCCACAGTCTCCAGGGAGTGGGCGGTTTGGCTGGGTGCCAGGCACTGAAGGCCAACTTTGGTGAAAGCTCCCTGTCTCATCAGATGGGCAACGGGAGGCCTGGGAGGCTGTGCCCCGGCTCTGAGCTGCCCTAGGTCTGCACACTGGCTGGGCGGGGGCCACAGACATGGCCCAGACGCCAGCCTTTATCTTCAACGTCCCTGAGACCCCAGAGGACCAGGGGTGAGTTCTGTGGGGCTGGGATGTATCACCCCCGGGGAGAGGCCGTTTGGACCACTGCCTTACCGAAGGGGTAGGCTCCTGGGGAGAGGACTAGGTCAGCCCCAGCCTGAACTCCCACCCCCCATGCTCACCCTAGGAGCCAGGAGCCCAGCCCCTATGATGAGAGCGAAGTGCACCACTCCTTCCACCAGCTCATTCAGGAGCAGAGCCAGTGGGCGGCTGAGGAGGGCCTGGAGCTACAGCAGAGGGTGCCGGAGGCTGACACCCTGGGGGCCTCAGGTGAGGCTGGAGGCTGACACCCTGGGGGCCTCACCTGCCTGGCCCCGGCCCAGGTGCTGAGGGGTCTGGGCCTCCCTCACCTCTCCATTTGGCCCTTCCGGCAGTCTGCAGGCCTGGGGCGGGGATCCGGTAGGGAAGGTTGCTGGCCAGTGGTGTCTCCAGGACCTCTGGACAAGTCTTTCTGCTTTGTAGGCAGTGGCCACCAGGCCTTCCTGGGGCCCGAGGGTGTCCCTGACTACAGCACGGCCACACTCCGCATCTTGGCCAGCATGCCCAGTCGCACCATTGGTGAGTGGGGCCCTCTGCCCTTGGCCCCTACGTTGCCCCCAGGCCCTCGGCTGGGCCGGGGTTTCAGGTGGGGATCTGTGCACCTCAGAGCCAGGCCCTTTTGGCTCCGCCCCACCCGTCTGCTGCCCGGAGGCCCAGCACAGCCCCCTGCAGCACTGCTGGGTTCTAAAAACGACTCCAGAGTCGTCACAGGGGTAAAAATAGGCTCTTGGGAACCCACTGGTGCCTGAGGTCCCTTATAAAGGGCTGTTCCTGGGTCCTGAGAAGGGGGAGCAGCCTCTGTGTCTGCGTGAGGGATGGGGAGGCGAGGCCCGGCCCTGCCTGCCCTGACTGGCACTCCCACAGGCCGCAGCCGTGGTGCCATCCTCTCCCAGTACTACAACCGCACGGTGAGGCTGCGGCGCAGGAGCAGCCGGCCCCAGCTCAGGGGGGTGGGGCGCTCGGCCCGGCCCAGCCTCCGCCTGTACGACCTGGAGCTGGACCCCATGGCCTTCCAGGAGGAAGGTGAGTGAGTGGGGGTCAGAGCCTTGGTGGGGAGGAGGTCAGACTGATCGGGGTGGGGGCTGGGGTGCACAGACCCACGCTCCCCTCCCCCAGCGGGCTGCCTGACGGCCCCCAGCTGTGAGGTCCCTTTGCAGGGGGAGGGGGAGTATCTTGGTGTCCTGGCCACTGGGGCAGAGAAGTGGGGCCTTTCAGGCTGCAAAGGGTTCGGCCCATGGCAGGAGGCCCATGCACTCCACAGCATCTGTCGAGCACTTGTAGTGTTGTAGACGCTGGTCTCGGCTTTGGGACGTGATGGTGGTAAGCAGACCCCTTCCAGCTCTCATGCAGCTGATGGTCTGCCCAGTGAAACAGATGGGAACCAAATAAATGGATAAGTGCACGATTAAAGCTCAGATAAAGGCAACTGAGGAAAAGTGCACAGGGGGAGAGCATCACGGAACTGTCTAGCCTAGAGGGATCGAGGGAGGCTTCCTGGAGGACGTGACTCTAGACCAGAGTGAGCATGTGCAAAGGCCCTGAGGTAGGAGGCCCTGGCGTGTCTGAGCAGCGTGGAGGCCAGCGTGGCGGGGCTGGGGAACGAGGGACAGTGGTCGTAGCAGGGCCTGGTCTCACGTGTGGGTCTTTGACCAGGTGGTCTCTGGCGTTCAGGTGCCCAGAAGCTCAGGCACTTTCTTGGGGCCCTGCCTCTGTTTCCTCCCCTGCTTCACCCAAGGTCCCCAGCTGGTGGGTGATGGAGCAGTGCAGGGTGGCACAAGCTCTGGGGTCAAAGTGAATGCCAGTTTCACTCTGCAAACAGGGCCAGGTGTCAACATTCTGAGTGTCATTTCTTTTTTTTTTTTTGTGAGGAAGATCAGCCCTGAACTAACATCCATGCTAATCCTCCTCTTTTTGCTGAGGAAGACCCGCTCTGTGCTAATATCTATTGCCCACCCTCCTCCTTTTTCTCCCCAAAGCCCCAGTAGATAGTTGTACGTCATAGTTGCACATCCTTCTAGTTGCTGTATGTGGGACGCGGCCTCAGCATGGCCGGAGGAGCGGTGCGTTGGTGTGCGCCCGGGATCCGAACCCAGGCCGCCAGTAGCGGAGTGCACGCACTTAACCACTAAGCCACAGGGCCCACCCCCTGAGTGTCATTTCTTATCTGGAAAATTGGGGTTAAAGTAGTCCCCCGTCCCAGGGTGGTGGTAAAGATGAGAGGAGGCGGGGAGGGTAAGCACCCTGGCCCCTCACTCACCCCACAACAGCTGGCATAGTGGGAAGTGGTGGGGGACAGGGGTGGGGTTGGGACTCTATTGCTGCTGAGCTGGGGCCAGTGAGGCTCAGGTGCATGGGGGTCAGAGCAAGATGCTTGTGGGCACCCAGGAGGAGAGTTTGGGTCAAGGAGGAGGGGCCTTTGGGCTGGGCCTTGGAGGACACTGGGAACTTGATGGAGACGGAGAAGGCGCTCTGGGGCTCAGGGGCAGAGGTGGGAGAGTGAGGACGGCCAGTAGGGGTGTGAGACGGCTGGGCAGGGCACGGTCTGTCTTCGATGGTCCAGGCAGAGAGGAGCCATCGGGCCTGCAAGGGGGGCAGAGGCCTGTGCTGGGTGGGGCAGCAGGGGCAGACAGGCCCGTCCAGGGTCATGGCCATAGGGGCGGGAGGGAGGGAGGGTGCTTCTGGGAGCTGAGAGGACCCCTTTGTTCTGCTCCTGCAGAGAAGCGGATCCTCCTGGTGAAGGAGCTTCAGGGCCTGACCGTGGCCCAGCGGGACCACATGCTCCGGGGCATGCCTTTGAGCCTGGCCGAGAAACGCTCCCTGCGGTCAGTGCCCATGGCCTCGGGCGGCCCTGAGACCCGCTTCCTTGGCTGGGCTGGGTGGTCAGCGAGAAGGGCCCTGAGCCTCTGGTGGGTGGTCCCCGGGGGAGTGGGGCCCACCCCTGGTCCAGGCCCTGATGCTGCCTCTGCCCCCAGAGAGGACAGCTGGATCCAGAAGGGGAAGCAGAGGGGCCCACAGGGCCGTCGTGGGCTCTTCTCCTGTTGCAGCCGGCTCCGCTACGCCTGTGTCCTGGTAGGAGCCTCCTGGGCTGGGCTTCCAGTCCTCCATCCGGGATGGGGCCAGGACAGCTGGGCGGGCTGGGGCCGGCCACTCTCTTCCTCCACTGTCCTGCTCGTGGGGGTCTCCTGGCCTTCAGCCGAGCTCTGGTGCTGTGGATGACCAACCTCCCCTCTGCTGCCCCCTGCATCTCCAAGCCAGACGCCTGGGCTCTTGGCTCGGAGCTGGCCTGGCTCCCCCTCGGGGCCTCGCCTGCAGGACCTTCTGCCCCTGTTCCCACAGGCCTTGCACAACCTGGGGCTCGTGCTGCTCTCAGGGCTGCAGGCCCTGACGCCGTGGCGCTACGCCCTGAAGCAGATCGGCGGCCAGTTCGGCTCTAGCGTGCTCTCCTACTTCCTCTTCCTCAAGACCCTGCTGGCCTTCAACGCCCTCCTGCTGCTGCCGTTGCTGGCCTTCATTGTGGGCGTGCAGGCCGCCTTCCCGCCGGCCCCCTCGGGCTCCGTGCCCGCCTTCACAGGCCTGGAGCTCCTCACAGGCGGGGTGAGGGCCGGGGGGCCAGAGGCATCGGGCCGATGGGGGCGCTTTCTGGTCACAGCTTCCCCAGGGACCTCTCCCACCCGTGCTGTGACTCCAGGTGTCCAGCCAGATCTCCTCAGTGTCCATCTTGCTGTGATTTCAGTGGGGCCTGGGAAGCCCCAGGATGGTCCCGGCCCTTTGTCGTGCTCTGCTTTGCTCCTTGCCCTGCCCCCATGGGTGCCCTCCCTCTGCCTCGCGAAGCCTGAGGGGTCAGGTGTTGGGGAGAGTAGCTGACTCAGACGGGCCTCCTCCCTGCAGGGCAGCTTCTCTCACAGCGCCATGTACTACGGCTACTACAGTAACGCGACGCTGAACCAGCCGTGCTCCCCCCCACGGGATGGCGGCCAGTGCACCCCTGACGCAGGTGGCCTGCCCTACAACATGCCCCTGGCTTACCTCTTCACCATGGGCGTGGCCTTCTTTATCACCTGCATCACCCTGGTGTACAGGTAAAGGGTCTCACCATATGACCCTGGCTCTGAGCACCATTGATCCATCCATCCCTCCATCCATCCATCCATCCACCCACCCATCCATCCCTCCATCCATCCATCCTTCCATGCATCCATCCATCCCTCCTTCCCTCCATCCATCCACCCACCCATCCATCCATCCATCCATGCTTCTATCTATCCATCCATCCATTCATCCAGCTACCCATTCATCTATCAGTCCATCCATCCGTCCGTCCGTCTGTCCGTCCATCCATCCATCCATTCCTCCATCTGTTCATCCATCTACCCATTCATCCATCACTCCATCCATCCATCCATCTTTCCATCCCTTCATCCATCACTCCATCCATCCTTCCATCCATCCATCCATCTTTCCGTCCATTCATCCGTCACTCCATCTATCCATCCATCCATCCATCCCTTCATTTCCCCATCCATCCATGGATACTCGCTCCCTTCCTTGCATCTACCTGCATGTTCATCCATATCCACCCCTCCACCCCACAAACATTTGCTGTGCTTGGCTCAGGGCAGGCAGGTGAACAAGCATGATGCCTGTCCTTGAGGAGCTTGCTGTCTAGGGGAGAAGAGAGACCAGTGAGGAGGCTGGGAAAATCCAGGAGTTCTGGAGCATTGGAGGAGTCAGGCTGGCTTCCCAGGGGAAGTGGCACGTGCCCCTGAGGGGGAGGTTAAATAAGAGTGGGCAGCGAAGAAAGGGGCCAGCCCAGTGGCACAGCAGTTAAGTTTGCACGCTCTGCTGCAGCGGCCCAGGGTTCACAGGTTTGGATCCCAGGCGTGCACTGATGCACCACTTGTCAAGGCACGCTGTGGTGGCGTCCCATATAAGGTAGAGGAAGATGGGCACGGGTGTTAGCACAGGGCCAATCTTCCTCAGCAAAAAAGAGGAGGATTGGCAACAGATGTTAGGTCAGGGCTGATTGTCCTCACAAAAAACAAAAAACAAAAACAAAAATAAGAGTGGACAGCGAAGAAGCAGAAAAAGGTGTTTTGGTTATCAGAGAGGCAGTGCAAAGGCCCTGAGGTGAGCCAGTATCTTCTCCACCCATGTCTGGGTAGGAGGCAGCCAGCCATGTCAGTGGGGAATGGAGCCTGACCCCTCTTCCAGCCACTTGTAGCTGGGGGGCACCATATTGGACAGGGCTGATCTAGAGTGGCCAGCTGTCCACACCAGGAGGCTGGGCTGCAGGTGGGGCAGGGGGCTTGGAGGGAGGCCCATCCCATACTGGGAGGGCTCCTCTGTGTGGGGGGCACGCTTTGGCTGCAGGGAGTGTCCTGTCTGTCTTCTCTCCGGCCTCTGCGCCCCTCGCACCTCGTCACGCCCTGCCTGGCTCTGCTCCTCCCAGCATGTCTCACTCTTTTGGGGAGAGCTACCGGGTGGGCAGCACCTCGGGGGTCCATGCCATCACCGTTTTCTGCTCCTGGGACTACAAGGTGACTCAGAAGTGGCCCTCCCGCCTCCAGCAGGACAACATCCGAACCCAGCTGAAGGTGAGCCGCCTGGGGACCTGTGGTCCCGGCTCCCTGCCCCGTGTCCCCAGAACACCAATCCCGGGCTGCACAGTCCCCATAGACCCGGCCCGGGGTCCACTTAGGACAAAATGGGCAGAGCTGTGCTCTGGAGGGAGGACCACCTGCCGTGAGCTGGACTCCGGGCGCAGGGGTGGGGGTCTTGTCCTGCTCGGTGATGGGGCGGGGGTCCCCCGGTTCCAGAGACACGAAGCAACATGCGGAATCGTCCTGGTTTTTTCTCCTGTGCACTTCCCTCATTGGGGCTGCCTCTCGTCTGCTAGCGAGGGTCAGCGCCCTCGGCCCTCCACCACACAGGAGCCCACGCTAACGGAAAACTCTGCTCGCAGTGGGTTTTGGTGGGTGTGCATGCTCTGGGTGGACCTTTGATGTTGGCCTGTCCTCCATCCTGTGGGGACTCAGGTGTCTGTCCACCGTTACCCCGGGCTTGAGACCCGGGGGCCGATGCTGCAGTGGGACGAGGGTTAGGTTTGCTCTTGGGGCCTCTCCTGGGAGTCCTGTGTCCTCTGGTCCCAAGTGGGAAGAGACCCGCGGGGCTCCAGCTGGCACGCGCTCCTGGCTCGCCATGGTAGCCCAGGGTGAGGACTGTCATCTCCCTGTGCTACTTGTGAGGAGACTGAGGCGCAGAGGTTTGGTCCTTTGCCCAAGGCCACAGGGCTAGAGGGTGGCTGAGCTGGGCCTCTTGGAAAGTTCTCCGTGTTTCTGGGGTTTCATGCTATAGGATTTGCGTCAGGGAAGCTCGTGGCTTTGACCTTGCTAACGGGCCTTCATTGCCCTCAGGGAGCTCCCATGAGGGGGCCAGGTGCCCTTTGCACCTTGGGACTCCTGGTCAGCTAGGGGCCATTCACCTCCACAGCAGGCGGGATGGCTCAGGAGGCAGGGCTGGGGAGGGAGGGGGCTGGGGTGGGCGGGAGAGGTTGGGGCAGGCCTCAAGATGCAGTATGGGCCCCCATGGGAGCAGGTGGACACAGCAGGGGCCTGGTGGGGGGATCAGGGACAGGGCACAGCCTCAAGGCCATGTTTTGTGTTCTCCTTGTGCCTGGAGACAGGGCCCCAGAGTGGAGGGAGGGACAGGCAGGGGAGTTGGGGGTGGGCGGGAGGCGACTCCTCTGTCCCTCCAAGCCTGCCTGTGTGTCCACTCACTGTGTCCCTGTGTGTGTGTCGTGCGTGTCTGCACGTCCCTGTGTGTCTGTGCCGTGGAGTGAGTGACAGGCTCGCTGTCGCCACAGGAGCTGCTGGCCGAGTGGCAGCTGCAGCAGGGCCCCCAGAGCGTGTGGGGGCGGCTGCGGCAGGTGGCCGTGCTGGGGCTTGTGTGGCTTCTGTGCCTGGGGACCACGCTGGGCTGCACCATGGCCGTCTACGCCTTCTCTGAGCTCATGATCAAGGTGCGGGGACGGAGTGGGCAGCCCCTGGAGCCTTCGGCCCGGACTGGGAACTGGCTCAGGGCCCTGTGTGACCCTTGGGTAGTCCTGCCTGTCCTTTCCATCTGCCTCATGCTTTCCCCCTTCTCTCCTTTTATTTTCTTGTTTTCTTTGGGTTTCTCTTTTCTTTTTCCGACACCTGTGCCCCTCCTTCCTGTGTGGTTTGAGCATGGGGCCTGGGGTGCACCGTATCTTGGGGGAGGGAGTTGCCACCTGCCAGTTCCACCCCTCCTTCCGCCCTGCCCCCGCCTCCCGCCCCCACCCCATCAGTGCACCTGGCCTCGTTGGTGAGGCGACTGTGGTGACCACTGCCCCTCCCCCTGCCCTAGCAGAGCCCAGTGTCTGCTGAGCGGGAGTGGGAGCTGCTAGCCCTGCCCCTGGTGGTCTGCCTCCTCAACCTGGGGGCCCCCTACCTGTACCGTTGCCTGGCTGCCCTGGAGCGGCACGACTCCCCGATGCTGGAGGTATACGTGGCCATCTGCAGGTGTGTGGCCCGGTGGGGCAGGTGGGGGCTTCCTGGGACAAGACCTCTGTCTCCCAGGGACCCCTCCCTCAGCCTCCACACCCCCGTCCTCCAGGAACCTCATCCTAAAGATGGTCATCCTGGCGATTCTTTGCTACCACTGGCTGGGCCGCAGGGTGGGCGCCCTGAAGGACCAGGTGAGGATGGGCCTGGGTGGGGCTGGGGGAGGCGTCTGGGCCCCTCAGGAGGGGCTGCCCTGGTCCCAGGGGCAGGGGTGGAGGCAGTGGCCGCTCACAGCAGCCCAGCACCCAGCCCTCACTGGACTTTGTCTGGCCAGGTGGACAAACAGACCGGAGGCCCCCTGGCGGGCGGGGGCACGGGGGCTCAGGCCTTGTCTGTTTCAGTGCTGGGAGAACTTCGTGGGTCAGGAGCTGTACCGGCTCATGGTGATGGACTTCATCTTCATGCTGCTGGACACGCTTTTCGGGGAGCTGGTGTGGAGGTGAGGCCCCATCCACCTCCGTGAGCACGGGTCCCTGCCCTCACCTGGGCACCTGCCCTCTCCACCCTCAGAAGGGCTCAGAGCATCCTCACCTGCGTGCTGGGGGTGTCCCCTGGGAGGTCCTCAGGCCTTTGAAAAGCAGGACCTGACCTCCCAGATGGGGCCCATAAATCTCCACCCACAGCGGGGGTGGGGCCCTTTTGTAAAAGATCGTTAAACCAAAAAAACACTTAGCAGACAGGATGTAACCTATTTTTAGGTCGGAAAGGAAAACAGGTTTCAGAATGATGCATATAGCATAGTCTCGGTCTTGTGCAAAGAAAACAGGGTCAGAATGAAGAGGTAGAAAGTGGAGGGACATTTTCAAAATGCTGTGGCGGCCGCCGTGGGGGCGAGTGCTGCAGGCGTTTTTTGTTTCCTTCTTTTTGTGTTTTCTTCGAGAACATATGAATTTAATAATAAAAAAATGAGATTTTTCAAAAGCAGTAAAACGTTTGATGCCGATTATGTGTATTTATACGCTTGGGTGTATCCGTAGGTACTTAGAAAAAGGACCCAGACAAAGCCGCCTGTAGTCTAGAGCCCCTCAGGGCGGGAACCCCAGGCTGCTGTCTCCCTTGACATCGCTGGGCGCCCGAGGCGGGGCGGGCAGGGACGTCAGCTCCTTGTGCAGCTCACCTGCCAGGTGCCTGCCTTCCGGGGGTGGGACTAGGGTCTGTCTCCAGGATGGGCCCCCCTGTGTGACCCTCAGGGGTTCCTCTGCCCCAGGCTCATCTCTGAGAGGAAGCTTAAGAGGAAGGGGAAGCCAGAGTTCGACATTGCCCGGAATGTTCTGGAGCTGATTTACGGGCAGACCCTGACCTGGTGAGCATATTCCACTTGCCTCGCACTTTCCCCGGCCCCGGAGAGGGCTGAGCCCCTTTGCCCCTGAGGACCACGGTGAGGCCCAGCCCTGGGATTCTGGAGTGACATGGGCCCTGAGCCCTTACCTCCCAGGAGACTCAGTCTGCAGCCGGACACACTGGCTGTGCCCTCCCCAGGGTCCCGAGCCCAGCCTCGCCTGGGGGCCGTTTAGCCCTGGGGAACAGCACTGGGGTCATGACCCCAGCCTCTGGACTGCAGCCCCTCCTCCTGTCCCTCCCCAGGCTGGGGGTCCTGTTCGCGCCCCTCCTCCCTGCCATGCAGATCGTGAAGCTGCTGTTCCTCTTCTACGTTAAGAAGGTAAAGGCGCGGCTTGGGCCTCAGGAGGGCGGTGGGGCCTTGGGAGCATGCGCAGTTGGAGGGGCTGCTGGGCTGGCAGACACGGAGCCTTGGGACTTTGGAACCCTCCCCTGACCCGAGTGGTATGGGGCTGGCAGCCCAGGGCCACCCTCTGGGGTCAGTCTCATGTCCCCAGGGGACCAGCTGACCTCCCCCTCCCAGGCATCACTGTCCTGGGGTGATGCCCGGCCCGTCCGGGTCTGTGGTCATTACTGGGTGCCTGTGTGCCGTGGGCTGGGGCTTAGGGGGGGCATAGGGCTGGGAGGTTTCTGAGCCTCAGACTCTGCTGGCCCGTGGGAAGCGACCCTGGTGCTCTCTCAGGTGGGGGTGTGCATGGTAGCTGAGAACCCAGTTCCTGCCCTCTCTGACCCTGTTTCCTCATCTGTACAATGCGGGCAGTGCTCCAGGGGCACGGCCGGAAACGATGTTTATAAAGCATTGGGCACGGTGTCTGGCCCAGCAGAGACCTTCAGTCGATGGAGGTGGCTGTTAGTATCGCCCTTTGCACGTGTGCCTCGGCCTCCCTTCTGTGAGCCTGGAGGTTGGCCCGTGGGCTCTTGCCAACTGCGTGCGCAGGTTCCCAGAACGTCTGCCTCTCTGTGGAGCTGCCCGGGCTGGGGCGGAGGGGAGGCTTCTTCTGTCCTGGGGTCTGGGCTCAGGCCTGCCTGGACGCACAGCACCCCCCCGCCCCCCCGGAGGCCCCGCCAGGCCTGGGGGAGGGCGGGGGCCGGCAGGGCGGTGGCAGAGCTCAGCCTTTGTCCTCAGACGAGCCTGGTGGCCAACTGCCGGGCGCCCCGCAGGCCCTGGCTGGCTTCCCACATGAGCACCGTCTTCATCTCTCTGCTCTGCTTCCCCTCCTTCCTGGGCGCTGCCATCTTCCTCTGCTACGCCATCTGGCAGTGAGTGGGCGCTCGGCCTCTGGGGGGTGGGGGCGGGAGTCACCCAGGATTCCTGGAGGTGCTGCCTGGAGGGGCCTGGGGGCCTGTGGCCGGTGGCCGCGGTTCGGGGTGACGTGGAGGTTGCCTTTGCCAGGGCTGAGAGTTCAAGTAGCCCTCTTCCCCCAGGGTGAAGCCCTCGAGCATCTGCGGCCCCTTCCGGACCCTGAACACCATGTATGAGGCGGGCAAGGTGTGGGTGCGCCACCTGGAGAAGGCAGGCCCCAAGGTCTCCTGGCTGCCCTGGATCCACCGGTACCTGGTGGAGAACACCTTCCCCATCTACCTGGTGTCTGCGGTGCTGCTGTGAGTGCAGGCACGCTGGGCATGGGGAGGACCAGCCCAGGCGCGCCCACCCGCTCCCGCGGGGGCCCAGCCTGACCTCGTCTCCTGCAGGGCGGTGATCTACCTCAACATCCAGGTGGTGAAGGGCCAGCGGAAGGTCATCTGCCTCCTCAGGGAGCAGATCAGCAACGTGAGTCCCCTCCCGCCTCCCCCCCGTGAGAGGGCTACTGCTAGCTCACTCCCAAGGCCCCTCCACACCTCCTCTCGCGGACCTGGGCTGTTGAAAGGGTTTGTGTGCCAAACAAATTGCATTGATTGAAATGTGTGGTTTGTATTAAGCGGAGATGTGGACGCGAGGCAGCCAGGCTTCCCGTCCACAAAGACCCCACTGGGACGAGGGCTCCAGAGGATCTCATTAGCCCCAGCTGAGATAAGGCATTTTAGGGGGTGTGGCCCTGTGTGGGTGCAGACAGTCTCTGAGGATTTCTGAGATGCTGGAAATGGCTTTTGGACTTCCCGGGGCACCCATGTTGGAACACGGACCCTATTCAGTGCCCTCATTTTGCAAACAAGTGGAGTCAGGGTGCAAGTGGGCCGGGTTAAAACACTTTTAGTAAGCACGTTGCAGTCTGTCATAAAAGAGTGGGAGGCAGGGTGGGCCTGGACGCTCAGGGTGCACTCCCTCCTGGGACCCCCACTGGATGGAAGCTGGGCCCCGGGAAGCCCACCCTGAGAGGCAGCCCAGCCCTGTCCTGGGCACTGTCCCTCCTTTGGGACTCGGTCACCGAACCTGCCATCACGTTGAGAACACGTTACTGTCCTGTCGAGTCTGGGTTGCTTGGCCTGGTATTTGCCCCTTCACCCCGGTCATGTCCTGCTCAGGGCTGGCTGGTGCTCAGGGGTACCTGCCGACCACAGCGGGTGGTGGGCTCTGACCACACCCCCAAGGCCCAGACATCACTCTCCCCAGTGCCGTTTTTTCCTTTTTCCCTTTTCCTCCTGTGTTTTTCACTTGTGTTCTTAACGCTTGAGCCCACTTTGGGGCCGGCTGGTGCCCGCGTCCCCTAGGCGTTCACATCAGGGCTGGGCCCGTGGCTCCTCTCCTGCAGTAGCTCCGGGCGTGCTGGTGGCCACCTGCGATGCGGCGTGAGAAAGGACATAGGGGTCAGGTGCAGGGTGTCGGCCGAGGCAGGACGGGGCTGGGGCGCAGCACACGTGTGACCCTGCTGCTGGCTAATTGATGCAGGGGCAGGAGCTTCGGGTCAGTTCTCCAACTGACCCGAAGCGGGACGATCCCTTAGGTACAGCTCCCACGTTTTACGGGGTTATAAATAACACAGTACAGCTAACCCATCTCCCCCCTCACCAGTGGTACGCCTTGGCGAGCTCACAGTGGGCGGAGCTCAAGGCCGGGCATTTTGGCTGAGCTGGTTGCCCTGCCACAGCTGGTGGAAGCGGGTTTTTGCCAACAGGCTCCTGGCCTACTGTGTGTGCCTGAGGGCCTGTGGGTGCCGGGGGTGGGGGGACTGGAAGGAGTGGTGGGGGGACCGCAGCGTTGGGAGGAGAATCCCAGCTCCACCTGCCGTTTTTCTGGGAGCTGAAGGACCATTCTCCAGCTGGACCCTTGCTGCAGACAGTGTCCCCCCAAGGCCGAGCCCTGCCCCATCCCAGTCTTTGGGGCGGCGGGTCTGAGCTCAGCTAGCGCTCGGAGCGCTTTCCCCGGGCCTGGGCAGGGCGGCCTCCCCAAGTGCACAGCCCTCTGTACCCACCAACAACTCCATGGAGAAACAACTTGGGAGGCCACTTAAGGGGGTCCCTCCTGGGTGAGCCGGGGTCCAAGGCACCCAGAATGCATCCTGACAAAATTGCTCTTCTCTCTTTGTGAGGACTCACTTCCTGCAGAGAGTCCAGTCTGGCCTGGGGACTGATGGTCACTGAAGTCCGTCCAGTGTTTATGGGCACCAGGGCCTAGGCTCAAAGCTTTATGTGCTTTTCACATTCAGTTGTTGAAAGAGCCCTGAGTTGGCCAATATTCGCTCCAAAGACGTCAGCGTCCCAATCCCAGACCCTGTGAATATGCCACAACACTTGGCAAAGGGTGGGGGTAAGGGTCGCATATGGAATTAAATTTGCTAGGCATCTGACTGTGAGATGGGCAGGTATCCTGGACTATCCGGGTGAGCACAGTGTAATCACAAGGCCCTTAAAAGTGGAAGAGAGAGGTGGGAGAGTCAGCGTCAGAGATGTGAGAAAGACTTGACCGGCCACTGGCGGCTTTGCAGATGGAAGGGGTCCAGGAGCCAAGGGATGTGGGCGGACTTCAGAAGCTGGAAATGGCAGGAAAGATTCTCCAGAAGGAACCAGCCCAGCTGACACCTTGATTTTAGCCATGAGACCCATTTTGGACTTCTGACCTCCAGAACTGAAAGATGATGAATTTGTGTTGTTTTAAGCCACTAAGTTTCTGGTAATTGGTTAGAGCAACAATAGAAAACTAATACAAGCCCTGTGACACAGACATTCTTATCCCCCTTTTACAGATGGTGACTGAGGTCAGAGAGGAGGTAATTTGCTCAGGGCAGAGGTAGTAAGTGGCAGCACCAGTTTTAAGTAGACTCAGGCTGGCTCTGTGGCCCACACTGTGGGGCTGATCACATTTTCCTTTTCCCCTTGGCCACTAGGAAGCTTAGATCTAGATATATGCCCCCTGCTTGGCTCTTGGTTTTTCCTTGTCCTTATTTTGGTGCCTCTTTCCCCCTTCTTTAAACACGGTGTGCTTGTGATGTTGAATACTCCTTGTGAGCTCCCCCAGGTGCAGTCTGGAACAGGGCGGTTCTGGACGGACAGACAGCTAGACAACTTTGGTTCTCTCACCTTTTGTGTTTGGGCCTTTCTAGGAGGGGGAAGACAAAATCTTCTTAATCAACAAGCTTCACTCTGTCTACGAGAGGAAGGAGAGGAGCAGGTGAGGGGCCTTGGAGGGGTTGGGGCCACTCCGTGTGTGAGTGTGGAGGGGAGAGGGAACAGGGACTGGACAGGGAGGGACACTGTTTGGAGCTGGGGGATGGGGAGGGAGGTGGCTGCTGGCTCCCCAGGTGGCCCTCACCTCTAGGGACTCCCCTGCCCTCTTTTCCCACCTTTCCTCCTCAGGTGGGTGGGGCATCTGAGGGAGGAGGAAAGTTGTTCAATTTGGTGAGAAAGGCAAAAACAGCAAAGAAAGAACTGTGTGCAGGGGTGGTTGAGCAGGGCCTCGCATGTCCTTTCCCTCCCCTCCTCTCTGCCACTCCCCTTTCTTTATAAGTCAGGGGTGCTAGCCTCGCTGGCCCTTCTCCTCAGTCCCTTGCCAAATTCTCCCCATGGGCTAAACACCCCCACAATGTTGTGTCTCAGCTTTGCGTGCCCCTGGGCGGGGCTGGGGTTGCTCCCTGTGCCCCACTTCTCACCCTTCATCTCAGTTACCTGTGGTTAAGCCCAGGAAAAGGGAGATGAGTGCAGACATCTTTCTGCTGCCTGGACAGACAGACACACGGGAATATACACATGTACACACCCCTCCTCTACCCTCCACCCAGCCAGGGGGGCAGGCCGAGATCTGTGGGTCTGAGACCCTGCGGCTCCTCCCAAGGCAGAACGAGCCATCTAACAAGACCCCCCACCCCCAAACTAACACATCAGGGGGGAATCTGGACCTTCGTCCAGCCCCATCCGCTTCTCTCTAGAGCCTTCTTTACCCTAGGGAGGCCGAATGCAGCTCCTGAGGAAGGCTGTTGGGCACCTGGCTTCAGCCAGGTTGGAGGAACCTCGGCATCTCTGCCCGAGGCCACAGCTGCCCCTCGCTGACTTCTCTTTCTGGCAGGGTTGGCAGAGCCCACGAGGCCGAGACGCCCCCAACCCTGCTTGCAGATGAGCAGGATGCCCGGTAGGACAGCGACAGGCCTGGCAGCCGGGTGTCTGCTCATAGCTTGGCCTGCACCCTGTGTCACCCTCCACCCCCACGGCCCTGCAGGCACAGATGCGAGCCCAAGACCACACTGGCCCCCTCTGGGTGACCCCGCTGGGACACAGGGAGGGTGACGGGACTCTGCAGCTCATCTGAGGCTGGAGCTAGAGGTGGGCGAGTGGGGCTGGGGCACCCCAGTGGACCTTGCCCTGCCTGGACTCTATTTATTCTGATTAAACATGTTTTGCAAAATGGGCTTGTATCTTGGGAGCCTGTGCTCATGACCCACGCCTGCCCAGGTGTGTGCAGGGCTTGCTCTGCCCCTGGGCCCACAGCCTGCGTCCTGCTGCCCCATGAATGACCTCTACGCCGAAGTCGTGGGAACCTCGGCCTCCTGCACAAGCAGCCCCTTCAGTTCCTCCTTCTGGCTCTTCGAGGCTCCTCTCCTTGCCACACCAGAGCCCTGCAGCCTTCCTCTCAATAGTTGTGGATGCACTTGTGGTTGGATGAACATGAACGACCACTTCCAGTGGTCACGAAAAGCCCAGGAGATGCTTCTGTGGGGTGACCCCAGGCACCCTGTCCGTTTCAGTACTGATGAAACAGATGCCCTCGGGCTTTGGTGCTGAGCACAGGGCGCCCTCTGCTGGCCGAGCCACAGACGGCAGGGATGGACCACACCGCAGCCTGAGTGCTGCCCCTGACCAGCCTGAGCCCAGGAGGCTCGCACCTATGTGGGTGAGCCAGATAGGCAAGAACTATGGGTGTGTCCAGGGTGATAAAGCCAGCAGCAGTGATGCTTTAGTGGTTATTGGGGGGCGGGCAGGAGGGCAAATTTAGGGAGGGACTGGGGGGCAGGGCTGACATTTCAGTTGTGAATGAGCCGTGGGGAGAGGAGCCTGCCAGGCAGAGGGGCAGCCAGCGCCCAGGCCTGGGGTGGGAGGGGGTCTGGCTGCCTGTGGCTGTTGGGGTGACCCCAGGTCCCACCAGGCTGTCTGAGGAGCCTGAGGGATGTTGTGAGCCTGAGGGTGCAGGGAGGAGTGGACTAGGCTGTCATAGCCCCAGTGTGTCCAATGTCTGCAGGAGCCGGGGGGATGGCCCCGATGGGCCCCCTGCTCCTCATCCCAGAGGGGAACCCGGAAGAGCAGAGCTCTGGCCTGGGTGAGGCAGTGGAGAGGGCCAGGTCAAACCCACAGTGGAGATGCCACTGCCATTAGCAGAGCCCCCACTCACCCCAAACTGTCCCTCTCCAGGAATGGTCCCTCAGCCATGCTCCTGTGTTTGGCAAAGGTCCAGGGGCAGATGCCATCTGTTGACTCAGCGGCAGAGGCTAACCTGGCATCACCCTGACTTCCGTGGGTGGGGGGTGGCGCCCTCGGTGCCCCTGACAGATCAGGCTTCCTCCGCTTGTCATGGCCGATCCCAGCCAGATCAGTAGCTAGCGCTGATCCTGGGCGGCAACTCTTGGGTGTGTCAGGGCGTGAGCGCCACCAGGTGAAGCTGTGTGGGCAGGCCAAGTGTGCGACTGAGCTGGGGGTCTCTGGGCCAAACCCATCTAGCCGCCGTACTCTAAATCATCGTGGATACACTTTCGGATGGATGAATGTAAACGGACCACTTCCAGTTTGATCTGGCCTTACCATCAGTTATCATTTACCACCATGCAACTAGAGATCAGGACAAGCTACTTAACGAAAATAGGTGGAAGGCTGGCCCAGAGTATTTGTACCGAGTTACTGTGTGTGATGGTCAGCTTTGTGTGTGCTGCTGCAAAGCTATTGTGTAGATGTGTTTAACATCTGCAATCGGTTGACTTTAAGGAGATTAGCCCCAATAACGTGTCTGGGCCTCATCCAATCAGCTGGAAGACCTTAAGACCAAGCAGGTTTCCCAGAGAAGAAATTCTGCCTCCAGGCTGCAGCAGCTGCCACTGGCTTTGAGTTCAGACTCACCCGCCCACTGTTGTGGGGCCAGTTCTCTTCACGTGCACATCCATCTCCATCGGTGCTGTTTCTCATACAAGTGTGGCCTCAGGATCCTCCAGGGGAATATTTCGCCACACTCCTCTGCAATGGAGCCATTGTGGGGCTGACTGAGCGACAGTGGTGGAGCCAGATGGGCCTGGATTCTGACCCTTACTAGCTGTGCCTTGGGCATGTCCTGTAACCTCTCCCAGCCCCAGTTCCTCACCTCAAGGGGCTGTGGGAGCAAATGACACGGCTCCTATACAGTGCTTAGTGCCATGCCTGGCACATGGTAGTTTGGCTGAAAAAAAAAAAAAGCAAAAGCAAAAAGTAGATGTAATTGCCAAAAGAGACCAACTGAACTCTTAGAAATTGCTGTTCCAGTGGACGGGAGGCTGACAGTGCTGCTTCATGCCTGATGACAGATTCCTCTAAGCCACTGCTTCTCCACGTTGGCTGTTCAATGGAACCAACTGGGGAGATTTAAAAACTCTGGTGCCGGGGCCGGACCCGTGGCATAGCGGTTAAGTGCGCACGCTCCACTGCTGGCAGCCCGGGTTCGGATCCCGGCTGCGCACTGACACACCGCTTGTCCGGCCATGCTGTGGTGGTGTCCCATATAAAGTGGAGGAAGATGGACACAGATGTTAGCTCAGGGCCAGTCTTCCCTCAGCAAAAAGAGGAGGACTGGCATGGATGTTAGCTCAGGGCTGATATTCCTCACACACACACTAAATAAATAAATATTTAAAAAAATAAAAATAAAAACTCTCGTGCCTGGGGCCCACCCCAGAGAATCTGGTTGAATTGGTTTAGGATATGCCCTGGCACTGGGATTTTTACAAATTTCCAGATAATTCTCACATGGAGCCAGAGTTGAGAACCATTGCTCTGTGCTGTATCCAGCATCTGAAATGTTACTTAAGCCCGAGGCAGTACTGCCCATGGAGGCGGCATTTGGAAATGTACTTCTGGTTTTCCCGACTGGGGAGCCAGCCTTGGTGGCCAGGCCTGCGACAGGTGCTGCTGGTCAGGGGACGGCCCCACGCAAGCAGAGCTTGTCAACAGTGCTTCCGCTTCGAAACCCTGTGCAAACCTGGTAAATCAACTGCATGTTTCCATCATGATTCCCGCATAGGTTTTTCTTGATCCATCCCAAATGTACGATTCCTGCAAAGAATCTCCTTGAAACGCCTTCCTGTCTCTGTGTTCCCTCTTTTCAGTGCCCATGTGCTCAGCTCCCCAGCACCTCAGATCTCGTCTTTTTATCACTAGGATCAATGCTTGCCGGGACACCTCTTCTGTTGGCCTCTCCCCTCTCTTCAACAGCCCTTTCTCTGCATGTCACACCATCACCCACTGAGCACCCTGCCTTCCTTCTTTGCCGTTCTCCTATGGTGTTGCCAGAACAATAAAAAAAAAAAAGTGCAGCTCTGAACTGATTGTTTTCAGATTCCAGACACGGGTGGGTCCCAAGACCTCAGCCCCACTACAGTCGTGGGAGGCAGTTACTCTGGACCTTGGCTTGTGCTGATCCACCTATCCCTCACTTTCCCCAGTCTGTCAAAATCCAATTCAGCCTCCCAGGCCCAGGGCACACGAAACCTGCTGCATCCTTTGGACATCTCGAGGCCCTGACCTTGTTCTCCCACGGAGCAGGCGCTGGTACGGTTGGCTCCCTGTAGTAACTCTGGACACGGAGGAGCCAAGGGAACACTCACTGAAGACTTGGCTGGCAGAGCTGGAGAGTGCCTGCCTCCAAGTTCAGGCTAGTTTAAAATGTCAGGTGCATCTTGACTGCTCACTTTCTGAGTTTCATTTGTCATGTCATCTTTCATTTCTTCTCCTCATTATGACCCATTCAGTGCTTTCCTTCTCAACTTTCAAAAGAGGTTGGTCAGAGCCAGGAGTTCACCCCGTCCGAGGGGGCCAACCTGGGTCCTATCTTCTTTTTTTTTTTTTAAAGATTTATTTATTTTCCCCCCAAAGCCCCAGTAGATAGTTGTCTGTCATAGCTGCACATCCTTCTAGTTGCTGTATGTGGGACGCGGCCTCAGCATGGCCGGAGAAGCGGTGCGTCGGTGTGCGCCCAGGATCCGAACCCAGGCCGCCAGCAGCGGAGTGCGCGCACTTAACTGCTAAGCCACGGGGCCGGCCCTGGGTCCTATCTTCTTGATAAAACGTGGAACCGACCCATAGGAGCGGAGACAGAAAAAGACACTCATTCTGCTAGTATCTGAGCAAGGGGTCACAGAGGACATTCTGGCTTGTCTTCAAGAGGCTATCTTTATAATCCTGAGAAAACAGAAGCACTGACACTGAACTTATTTAAGGTCATGGTAAGTGTTCCAGGGGTTTGTTTGAGAAAACAAACACAGTGTTTTCATTTCTAACTGCCACCTAAAACATTGCAGTGAAATGTGGCTGCTTTATCCAGCACCATAGGTTCTACCGTGCTAGTACAAAATGCTTTGTACAAGTTAAGGCTATTTTACAAAAATAAATGAATAAAGTGTCTAGGAAACTCCAAAGACCTTCATTACTCTCTTCTCTCCGAATCTTTTTGATGCCCAAACTGGGTCATAGGTGAGAGTGAGCAGTGGTCCTCAGCCAGGACTCTAAGCAGACGGACCCTGGCCAGGTCCCACTGCTGTCCCAGACAATACTGGTCATCAGAGGCAGCAGATTCAGGAGGTGACTGTGGAGGAGAGCTCATAAGCTCTATTGCATCTCTCGATGATTATTAGTAAGACTTCAACGTTAATTGCAAAACCACAAAACAAATGATAAAATTACAAGTCAAGCAATCGAAACTCAGAGTTTATCTGATTATATATGTAAACTCTAAGGATATCACAAAAAAAGACAGGGAATTTGTTAGATATAGCAGGACAATTCTCTCTCCCAATACATACAAAGTGAAAATTGAAGATATCAGTCTTTGAAAAATAAAACACACATTTATTTGAACAGCCAAGAAAAAAACTGCAATTTATTAAGATTCAACAAAGCGTTGTACTTCTGAAAGCAACTTTCGGTGCATGTTCTTCAACAATCACATTCTATAAGGAAAAACATTGAAAGCCACAAACTTGTTTTTTAATCTTAGAGTTACAGACAGCTTTAATTCAAAATAAAAGGTCAAAAAAAAAAAAACCTCAACAAAAACCAAAAACAAATAAACAGATTCTTTACTTCCATCTCCAATTTTAAAATATGAGGAGTTTTTCTACAACTCGATGCTAAATGGCAGCATGAGAAGCTGTATGTCCGGATGCACACACACGC